GGCGGCGGCGGCTCCGGGAGTGCCAAGTGCATCCAGGTCTGCCAGCAGAAGCAGGCGCCCAGCTGGCCATGCAAATGAGGCCCGCGGGACGCCACGGAGGCGCGGGAGCTGGAGGTGTTCTTCGTGGGCGCCGACGGGCTTAAGTGTTCTCGTGATAATGCCATGAAGTTCCAAAGCCTCACCGTTTTAACCCCCCTGGAAGAAGCCATTGAACCCTCCAGCTGTATCTTGTTCTGCAGTTTTCCCCTTGGCTTCTGCACCACTACCTCCCAACCCCAGTGCCTCCTCAGCCAATAAATTTGCTGATCATGAGAATTTCTGGGTATCCATGAGTCTTTGTAGCTTCCAAGTTCATTCATTCTATTCCTCTTCTCTCTTTTCTTCCATTCACTCACCCATAGGTGCACATTCATTCAACACATCTGTTTATTCTACTGGGGAGAGGGGGCGGTGGGTAGATGGGAGTCACCAGGGGTGGGAAGAATGCCTGGTGGCCAAAGATAGGAACTCTGATTTGGAGCTTAAGATCGCGAAGTGCTCCCCAAACACAAACATCTTGGGGAAAGGTTTCAATAAACAGCCCCTGTGCATTGAGTAGCCACCATGGGTCTTCTCATGGAGCTCAGTGATTTTTAAAGACAGGCCGCCCTGGGCAGATGCTCTCTCACAGTCCAGACCAGAGCCTACTCTGCAAGGTCTGAAAGCAGGGCGGCTGTACCGTGGGGCCACCAAGCTTATGCTACCCAGACTGACAGGAGAAGGCGTCATTGTGTCAGACGCTTATGAGCCTCTACAGTGTGAACACTGCTCCTGGGCACTTGTAGGGATGACAGGTAGAGGAGCCCTTTCCTGCTGTCTTGAAGGAGCTTCGCTCAACTTAGGAAAACACAGTGTAAGTGTGTGAGATGTTAAACACCAGAACCAGAGGGATCATGGGGAAACACAGGAAGCCTTCCACTTAGCAAGAAAGAAGATACAGTTACTCTGTTAATTACGTAATACAGAACATCAAAAGAGATTGAGAACATCAGCCAGGTCAGGAACTTTCTAGGCCAGTGGTTCTCAACCTTGGCTGCACATTAGAATCACCTGGGAATCTTTTTAAAATCCTGATTTCTGGGCCTCACCCTCCGGAAATTCTGTTTCTTTGTTACTCATGTTGTGGCCCCACCCCATAACAAAGAAACAGAATTTCCGGAGGATGAGGCCCAGAAATCAGGATTTTCAAAAGATTCCCAGGTGATTCTAATGCGCAGCCAAGGTTGAGAACCACTGTTCTAGGCCCTATTCTATCTGCCATAAGTAAATGCCAATGTATTGACTTACGCAATGCAAATCTCCTGCTACATGAATAAACCAAGGCATTCTTCCTACCCAATCACGGCTTGAGACAGAAAGACAAATCACCCCTCCCCAGCTCTTTTATTTACAGTCACTACCACCTTCATCATTTTACAACAGTCATTTATGGAGATCAAAACACATGTGAGCTTTAAAGATCAAATAGTCCAACCATTGGAGTTCTAAATTTATTTAAAATTTTCTTCTTTTATTAGGTTGTTAAGAGTTTTTATATGGAGGTTGAAAATTGAGGTGACACCATGGAGTTTGTTCTCTAATCTTTGAATGGAGTGAGTTATATTAATATATTTCTTCC